CTGTTTGTTATTAATTATATTTGCTGCTCACTGTCAATATTTAATGATTTTAAAATATGCTGCCCAGACCGGCACACAACCATTCATAAATATGCAATTTTGTTAAATGATTTTAGGTTGCAGAAATACAGAGAATGACAAACAAATGCCATTATCGAGAAACTAGAGTGAAGCCATGAGGCGAAAAAGTCGGGGGGGGGTGGATATACTATAGTCCATGGCATTAGGGCTGCGCAAATGTTTTGCAAAGCAAACAATACCCATCCATCACAATTTGTTTTACCCATGAACGGTTGGCTGCTGTTTTAGCTTCTGCTTCTGCTGCTCCTGCAGCTGGAGATGCGTATTTCATGTCGTTTCATGGTGGATGTGGAGGTCAGCAGGATTTGGAGCAGAAGGGAAGGGGGCATAGAGCCACTGTGCATTTGCGGGAAAATTTGAGGAAATTGTTATGGCGCGACGGCTGTTATAGTGAGAATTTTGCATTTATAAACTGATTTTTGTGTGCGCCTCCCCAAAAATGATTTCGTAGCGCTATTCGTCATGCAATTTTCTGCCATGAATTTGGACGATTCAAAAATCTCAGTGTCGGTCAACTGCTGCACAGTGTCAGCCGCAGAATCATCGGCGGAATTCAACCATTGCCCCATACCGCATCATGAATTGCAATTAGTGGAAGGTCTCTATCACTCAATTTTCCTTATGTGTGTGACGGCGTGTGTAACCGATTCGTAAACCGATTGGTTAATGGGCAATCAATAAATTCCAATTTCTCACAATTTCTACGGCAATATCCACAAACGGTGCAGCAGCAGAATTTTTATCCACAATTTATATCGCAGTCATCTCATCTGTTACCCAAGTGGAAGTGGAAGTGGAAGTGGAATTGTGTGCCTGTGTGTGTGTGTGAGTGTGTGTATTGGCCTGGTCCATTGCTTGTTATAGTCAAGATTTGCATGCAGCTCGCACACACCGATTTACCGATAGATTCTGGCAAAAATTTCCTCTTAGCCGCCCGTTCTCTGTATGTGTTCGTATGAGTGCTGTGTGTGGAGGAGCATCAGCATCACGTAAGCTGCATTTAAGGGCATATACATTACATACGGATACGCTCCATTAATATGTATCCTTGCATGCCTGCGCACACGCCTACTCCTTATAGGAGGAGCACCAGCACATGGCACTAAATCGTGGCCCCCTCAAAACTCTACCTCTCACAGCCAAAGGGATTCGAGGCTGGAGCATGTGCAGGCCATATATCTGATTACTTGACGAAAGGATGTGCTGAAGACTCGTTCAAGGCGACCCAGTCCAGCCCCAATTGCGGTCCCGGTCCACACACTTTAAATGCTGCCTTTGATCACTGTTGCCCCGCAAAAACAGTTTCTGCCCTCAAACCCTTTCACAAACATTAATGAGTGTGTACGTTTGCCAAATGCAGCAGAAGCTTATTTTACTAATTAACTACTCTGTTGTACAACTAAGAAATAGCCAATGCTTGGTGAGAGAAATACTGAATTATGATACATTTCTATACATTTAGTAATGAGGTAATATAATTCAAAGGCTGTTTGCAGAATCTATTTTAATTTCTAATGTTCAGAATAAACTGGAAGGCTTTTACCTTAGAGATGCAATTAATAAGAGAATAAAATATATATTTTGTTATTAAAGCAGGTAGCTCAGAAAGTAGGTAAACTCAAAGATTTTATAATATAGAATCTATTAAGTAACCTAAATTTTACTTTCATGTTGTACATACATACACATAAAGTTTTTATTAGAGCAGCAAGTAAGTAGATTCAAGGATGAGTGTCTACAATATATAAATATATTTTCCAAATACTTGAAAGAAACTTAAAGAAAATATGAAATATGTAATAATATAAAATTCAGTATACTTTAACAATCTATTAAGTAACCCAAATGTGCTGCTGTATTTGAGCACAGGTGTGTGAGATGGCATCACCTTGAATTTCCCTACCCATTCCGTTAATGTACTCATCTCCTTTGTAGTGTAATGTTACTGGCCATAAAGAAAGCTGCGGATTATCCACTTGGCGCATCTGCTACCTAAGCCAGTGACACGTGTTAAGCATTCTTTTGACCTGCTGATGCCAGAATGCGGGCTCAGAAGCCCAACTTCCAACTTGAACCGCCCATAAACGTTGCTATCGAAATATTATTTCGAAACGATATTGGGCAAGCGATAAGCATAATTGCGGCAATAAAAGTTTTCAACTTTTGTACGACACGCTCCTGGATCTGCTAGTAAAAACTGCAACTGCAGCTGCTGCTTTTCGTATACGAAAAAGACTCATGCGATTTAAGAAATACCCTGCAAGACCATTTTCACTTTAATAAAGAATACCTTTTAAGTTTATTTTGGTTTTTAACTAGAATACATTTTAATTATCAGCTTCCGTTTCTAAAAATTGTTTTTATGTTTATAGAGACATTGAGTTAGTTTTTAATTATTTTAATTATAAATTGCTCAAATAAATAAATATTAGTTTTTTTCTCTAAAATTGTTGAGTATTGAATTTGGTAAAGTTAATGAGTTAGGAACCCTAACGTATCACATACGCCATGAAAGGACACAGAAAGGGCAGAGGTAACCGGAAATTCTTGTCAGACAAGCGCATGCTTACGCGGGAATTGCCAGGACTAAAACAGCGTTGCATGCACCCAAATACAACCATCCGCATCGAAACGAACGCATAACAATGCGAACTTTATGGGATGTTCGGTGAGGGAGGATATCTCCATAGTCATACCCATGCCCAAAACCACCACTCCCCCACCCTCTCACATACGTCAGGATATCGTAAGGACTCGTGGTTTGTGGATCGCAGCTGCGTATGCAACGATTTTTTAACATTGCATTTACCTTTGATTCCATCTAGCTACTTGTTATTCCGCTTTCCTTACTACTTATTTTTTTTACTTTGTACCTTTATTTTATATTATGTTTTTCCCTATTTTTTTTTTTTTGGGTCGGATTTTGTGCTGCTCAACAATTGTTATTGAAATTGTTTTGGCAATTTTTTGGCCAACCATAAAATTTTGTTTGCCAAGGATACTTACTTGTGCCACCGAATGAGAAATCGCCTGAGAAGGCGAAAGCATGTGGAGGATAGCGAGTGAGCAGAGAGAAAGGACAAATAGACATTTCAAGAAGGGTTAGTACGATTGCCGACATAATGGAGCAAAGCAAATAAAAACGGATCTAAGAGTGCTAGTCTAAATTTCAAAACGAAATTGGTTAAAAATCCTTTTGTGCAGCATGTGATAGACAACGAACGGGAGAAACGGGGACAGTTAGTTAATATGTCCTCCAAAGGGAGAAATCCGCAAAGATACTCACTTGTCTCACCGGTGGTACATGTCGCCGGGGCAGATGGCGGTCCACGTCCAATGTTGTTCACGGCTATCACGTAGAACTCGTACTCGGTGTAGGGACTCAAGGCACGGACCACATAGTACATGGTGATGATGCCGCTTATCTCGCTGAAGGCCTGGTTCGCGTTCTTCGGCTTGTACTGGATCACGTAGTACTGCAAGTCCTCAGGACCCTTGTACGACCACTCCAGACGCACCGAAGTGGCGGTCACCTCCGAGATTTGCACATCGGTGGGTGCGGTGGGCAGAGCTGTTCAAGGATATAGAAAGATATATGTTCAAAGAGTGAGTTATTGAAATATATATAATTAACTACTAGAATATATGTACACCATTTAATAGATCATACATTATTTTTTACTGTTATTATATTACAAAATTTGAATTCTTTAATGAGACAGATACTTTTAAATTGTAATGTTGTAAAAATCAAAATGATTTTTAAGTTGTTTTGATCTATAAAATATTTATAAATATTTTTAGTCTTATTTACCTTTTATTATAGCATACTTAAACATTGTCATATTGTAAAAACAAATTGTTTTTAAGCTATTTTCAATAAAATTATAACATTACAATAAAACCATTTATTCATAATTCATAAAACCTATATCGTTACTAAGCAATATGAATTATAAATGTTTGTTTGTTATATTTTGTATATTTACTCCTAATTTACTTACACTGCACTTTAACCACCGAAACGGAATCGATTTGTCCTAGTGTTGAGGCTGCTATGCAAGTGTAGTTTGCGCTCTCTTGAATATTAATCAGTTGCAGGACATTGCGGCCGATTGGCATCTCATTCTCGGGTGTTAGATCTTCAAAGCCTAAAGAAAAACATTTATTAATGATGGCCAGATGGTTGAGTATAGACCTTTTCATACCCTTCATCCACTTGACATGTGGCATGGGTGAGCCGACGGCAATGCAGGAAAGATTCAGATTGGAGCCCAGCATCACCTCGCTGATCGACTCTGGTGGCCGGGAGAAAGTTGGCGGAACACGACGCACTTTCACATACAAATTGGTAGCTTTCGAGTGCTCCGTCCCAATTGAATTCTCGGCCACACACTCGTATTTACCTTGATCCTCCTCGCGACTGTTTTCGATTTGCAGGAAGCCTGAAATATAGAAACGGAAAATGTTTATTAATATGCATATTTTCTTTATACTACAACTAATTTTAAGTTTTTCTTATTTGTATTGTTTTATAATGTCTTATCGGTCTAACTGTTCCTTATTAATTAATTAATATTATAACATATGGATTATTTAAAACATTGTTGTTTATTATCACAACCTTTAACTGGATGGTTTGACAATTTCTCCGTACCTATTTATTGCCTATACCTATGCTTATTGATGGTATACCCTAAAAACAATTACATGAAACAGCTGCCACTTTTTAAGTTTATACCTGAGAGTATGGTTGTGCCTACCTAAAAATCTAGCCAATTGGTTTCATAAAAGCAATACCGTTTAACCCTTTGAATACATTTTAAGTTATAACACTACCTGATCTGCAATATAACACACAGTTCCTTGAGAAAGGCAATCAGTACAATCCCAACTCTTGCCGAGAAAACAACGCAAACATGTTTATTCTGTTTATAGTGACAAGCCTAATGCATTTTGTTTGTGGCACCACTTATGTAACCACCAATAGTCACATTGAGATGCCAACATATCAGAAACGACCGTTAAGCGAACAAATGGAGATGATTGATATCCTGGATTTGGGTGACCGACCGCGACGACAGGCGGAGCCCAATCTGCACAATTCTGCGTCGAAATTCCTGCTGGAGGTGTACAATGAGATTAGCGAGGACCAGGAACCCAAAGAGGTCCTGCATCGGCGCCACAAACGCTCACTGGACGATGACATCCTGATTTCCAACGAGGATCGACAAGAGATTGCCAGTTGCAATAGCATCCTGACCTTTTCGAGTCGAGTGAAGCCCGAGGAAACGGGTAACGAACTGGATATGCACGTAACCTTCAATACCAACGATGTGCCAGTGGATTTGACTTTGGTGCAGGCCATGCTCCGGATATACAAACAGCCCAGTTTGGTGGAAAGGAGAGAGAACATCACGGTTTCGGTGTACAGAAAATTGGACAACCGTCAGGAATATTCCTATCGCATCCTGGGCTCCGTGAACACCACATCCAGTCAGCGTGGCTGGCTAGAGTTCAATTTGACCGAAACTCTGAGAATGTGGTTAGCCCATAAGGGTTTGCCACGGCGCAATGAGCTGAGGATCTCGATAGGCGACTCCCAGCTGAGCACCTTTGGAGCCGGATTGGTGGCTCCTCAGGCCAGTCGCTCCAACTTGGAACCCTTCATCGTGGGCTATTTCAATGGGCCCGAGCTCTTGGTCAAAATACAGAAGCTTCGTTTCAAGAGGGATTTGGAAAAGCGTCGGGCAGGTGGTCACACACAACCTCCTCAGCCGCCGCCGCCACCCGTGGATTTGTACAGGCCCCCACAATCCTGCGAGCGACTCAATTTCACCGTGAACTTTAAGGAGCTGCAGATGCACAACTGGGTGATTGCACCCAAAAAGTTCGAGGCTTACTTCTGCGGAGGCGGTTGCAACTTCCCGCTGGGCACCAAAATGAATGCCACCAACCATGCCATCGTCCAAACGCTGATGCACCTGAAGCAGCCGCATCTGCCCAAGCCCTGCTGTGTGCCCACTGTTTTGGGAGCCATCACCATACTGAGGTACCTCAACGAGGACATTATCGACCTGACCAAGTACCAAAAGGCAGTGGCCAAGGAGTGTGGTTGCCATTAAATAGCATTATAATTAATTCTCACTATAGTTTTAAAATGGAAATAGAATTCAATGTAAATACAAATATTTTAGATGTAAATAAAAACATTTTCTGAAAGAATTCGAGATGTTAATTTATTATAAATTAAACATGTTTATGTTTTATTAAGAAATACTGGAAGTAAACGGAATTTTAAAGATATTTTTATTCCAAAAAAATCTAAATATATATAAAAAGGGTTTAGATATCTATAGGTAAAAATCTAAATCAAAAAGTTTACATTTTAAATTAAAAAAAATCCTGAAAGTACGTAGCATTTTTAAAAAGCCTTTCAAGCCAACAAAATCGAAAAATATACTTAAACATTGGCATAAAAACATCTTATAAAACCCAAATAGTTTTTAAGCTTAAGAGTTCTTTTAAACCTTGACGTGTTACGCCCTTTTATGATGCCTTTGGGTTATGGGGGCATGGGTTTAACCGTAACAGAGTCGTAAGATCTTAGATTTATCAATAAATTTGAAAGTCAAATGATGTTTGTTTATCCTCACATCACTTTAATAGGCAACCCACATTATCCTCATTGCACCATAAAAACTCTCAATTCACCTTGCTTTTATGTACCGAATCCATTCACTCCACTTCAGGATGTGGATGCTGCTGCACTGCTGCCCGTGAAGCAACACATGGAAAATTAACACTTTTTATATGATTTTAAAAGCCATATAAACTTTACGACAAGTCTCCAGCCCCAAAAAAAAAAAAATGTTGCAATCTCTTCTCCAACGAGAAAAGGCACATACAGGCATCTATTAAATATCGAGGCTCGCTTTTCCGGAATATTACGCTAATGTGAATGACACATACGGGGGAAAAACTGGAGGTTGGTATAGGAGAAAGCCATAAACCGCCCTCACTTTGACATTATATTTATATGACCAATAAACAATGATGCACGAAACGGCGATGAGTAGACAATATGAAATTTACGTAATCAAAATTCACTTCTCTTCACGTGGTAGCCCCTCCTAAAAGCCAGTGGCTTTTAAATCAACAGTTATGAATATATATTCCAGGCACCAAAAATTTGTTTAATAGCCATTGGCATTTTTGCTCTGGCTGAAACCATAAAGTTATGGCACGAATATGTCTGTTTTTGCGCTTTTTAATTGACCAATAACTATTATTTCACACGATAATTTAGAGCGACATAGTTGAGAGCCAATGATTTGTTTTAGTTGGTTTTTAATTTATTTTGCAAATTTATTTCATGTTTTTTTTTATCATATTACCATTTTTAATGAAGCATGTTATATTCGTTAACAGCGTTTGAATTTCTAAGCGTTTAAACTATGATATCGTCATGTTACTGTGTGCGTTTGTGCGAAATTAATCACATTCGAGTTTCGATATTCAATTTTCTTTCGCATACAATTAATCAACTACCTCAATTCAATATGCACGCATACCCATAAAGAATATGTGTGTCTGTGTCCATATACCATATTTATACATAGTAGGTAAGCAAATTTAAAATCTGCATGAAATATTACAATTAATTTACGAAAAAAAGAGTTTTTCATACGCAATATTATCGTTTAATTATTTATTGCTGCATTTTGTGCATATACAAGCAGTATTGATCAGGCTTAAGCGGAAAGCTTAAATTACAAAATCGTATTTTCGTTTATTATGATAGTGGACTTAATATTGTGGAGAGTCATCAAATGAAGTTAAATTTTATTTCATTTATGTGTCTTTAAAGAACTGGTATTTTTTGCAATTATAATTTTTAATTGAGTGAAGTAAGAGTAAGAAGAATATTCAAAACGTATACTTAATTTAATACTTATACTTTATTAAACAAATACCCACCAAGTATTTTAAAATAAAATTTTTGCATTGTTTATCTGCTCAATGAGCTATAAAATAAAAGTTACATATTGACATTGCATATGCAGTGAATATATCTTGCTGAATGGTTATGCTTTTCCAAAAGAAAAATAAATAAACCGTGTCAATAAACAAATATAGGAGTTCTGCTACAGTTGAGTGAATCATTTTAATGACCCTTGTTATTGTAAAACAATAAAAAATAATTGTGACCAGAGGCTTTCAATGTGGGGTACAACCAAATTGCATTAAGTAATGCTCAAAAGTATTACAAATTTAAAAACTATTTTCAATGTAATTTATGTGGACTGTTTAATTATTTTTAAGAGGATTCAGCAACACTTTAGCCAGCAAAATGAAAGTAAATCTGTATAAATTGTTTTGAATGCTGGCCCCCACAAAAAATGATCTTAACCTACGCTGCTGGCATGCGAATATCGAACAAAATATAACCATCAGCGCTAAATGTGGCAAAAATCGCTTGGCTCGCACTAAAGTCATGTTTATTGTGTCTATTTTATGTACCTTTCCGTTTTATTTTAGTTGTCATTTTGCCTTTGATACACAAAATAGTCGGGGAAATAAAAAATAAACGGACTTAAAGTGATGTATATGCTGTGTAGATTGCTGTGTGGTTTTTAGTGCACCGCCATTGCAAGCTGGATGTGGATGTGTTTTATGTTTTGTTGTCGCTAGTGAAAAGGCGCTTTGTGCTTTTATTTTCGCTACTACTCTTGCCGCTCACCTACAACATGCATCAAAGTTGATTGTTGCGAAATTTATTGCATACTATTTGGCCTGTATGGCTGAACATTTATTACGCTTGTTGCACTTCCTGTGTAGCCGGGGATTCCCCCCGGCGTCTGGCCCATTGTTTAGCAACCGTTGAACCATTCAAACAACCATTAAATGTTGCAACTTTTATAAATAATCGACCACTTTCGATTTAGCTGACATGTGTAGTTCGGCGGCCCAAACAAATATTTTTTCCCCTTCATTCAATGCTGACATTATGCCAGGTAAAGCTCTAAAAAAGTTTAAAAAAAATATTAAAAAAGAAAAAAAAAAGACAACGTCTGCGGAGAACGTTGATTAAAATTTATGAAGGCAAGTTTCATTAAAACTCCAGGCAACCTTCTGCCGAAAACATTAACGTAAGCCGCACACTTTGCGTGCAGGTTGGCTGTAGCAATAAAAATTAAGCTAGCATACATCTGGGCGCTCGTCTGTGTCCCGAATGTAAGTCATTCCATTCCGTTCCAGTCGCCGTGTTTTTGGCCTTGTCTCTCCCTGCGTGCGTGTGCTACTCTTATGAAAATTAAAAATTCTTTCAAGGGTCATAAAAAAGAAATATAAACAAACGGACAGGCTGCTGGCTAGCGAAAGAGTTCGGCTTCTGTCGGTGAACAGGTGAAAAAGTTGTTTAACCGAGGGGATTTGGCACCCAAAAAACTTACTGACTTAAAGCTTCTCGAACTGTCTTCAGTGTATTGTTTAAGGTTAAATTATTGCTTGTACAATACAATTTAATGAGTACTTCATTGTTTTCCTTACTGAACAACGGAAAACGGACGTTTTATTTTAAATCGATACAAGTTAATCATTTAATTTAATAAGGTTAATGGACGGAAATTTTACTTGAGAATTTTTGTTTATTTTTTAATCAATATTTCTAAGTCTTTTAGATAAGATATGAATTCTTTGCTGTGTTTTCCAGATCTAATATGTCTAAAATTAAAATGTATAGCTGTTTTGGGCAGCTGATAACATAAGCTATAAATTTTAATTTATTCCAAAACAAAGTTATCGCTAGAATGAGCCAAAAATATATTGCCCATGTTTAAAATATAGACTTTTTTAGACGAGCTCAACTGAAAATGCTGCTCTAAAGTTTTTTCATGTTTTTTTAACGTTTTAGGGTTTTGTCTGTAGACTGTAATAAAATAAAAAGTTCAAATACTTTTTAATTCAAAATCTCGAGTTGGAAAAGTTTCGAACGATTTCATTTGCTATTAAGAAATCAAAGCAAAGGACACTGGAGAACACAAACTAGCGCCTTAAGCAATTCTTCCACCTATTTATGTGACCGCTATAAATGTGGCAAGACATGGGTTGCGGGATACTTTGGACGTGGCACACATGTGGCACGCCACATAGCTGCACTTCCGCTAGCGCAGTCATTTTCGTATTCTGCAACTTCCGCTGCTCGCACATACACACACACACGCACACACACTTGTAGTACAAAGCGCCACGAAACGCACACTCTGACACATTGGTTGCCAAGGCTTTGGCTTCCTCGACTTTGGCTTCAGCTTCAAACGCTTGGCTGCACGCCCAAATGGGATTATTAATTTAATTATGCTTTAATTTAAGTAGTCCTCGTTGTCGTCGTTACAAAGTGACATTTATGGGGCGACTGGCTGGCTGACTGGCTGGCTGGCTGACTGGCTTTCTTCTCGTGTGCCGCCACCGCCCAAGTTCGTTCGCATAAAAGTGTGCAAAGTTTCAATTTTGGTAATGCAAGTGACGACGACTTATCGTCAACCCAAAAAAGAAGAAACCCAACTGACCACCTCCCCTCCCCTTAAAATACTCGAGGAGATGGGAAGATTGAAGGGAGAGGGGAGAGAGGAGAAAAAGGACATGCCCCCGCTGGGAGAAAGCCGTTCTAGTCATGCACATTTTGGCAATTACTGTCTCATTTTCAACAAAAGTGACTGTCAACTCTTTCGAGCAGCAGCAAGTGACAAGGAGAAGCTCATAATTTAAGCATTAAACTTTTCCCGAAATGCTTTCAAGTTGACTTGCCTTAACTACAGTTTTACGGCTCAAGTAAATAATTGCGTGCAGACCCAGTACCCCGTACCCAGTGTTCCCTATCCCCCTAACCATTTCCTCTTGGCCCACAGGTTGGTCACGTCAAGTGGCAAGGCGATTGTAATGATGGAGCCCAGCAATTAAAGAGTTGGAGCCCAGGTCGCAGGTCGAGGGGCCATCGTCGTCGCAGCTGCTGCTCCTTTGTTTGAGGGGAGCCGAGGAAGAGAGGAGTGTGCCACGTGTAAGTTTCGAACAAAGGAAGGCATAAAAATGTCATATAAAAAAACGTAAGACGATGTTGCAAGCTGAGCTCTCGTC